GAAATCCATTTCCAAGTAGCTTAGGACGTACCGAACGGACCACCCACGGCCCCATCTCATCCCGTCTATCCGTCTTATACGCGGAATCGTCCCGCTGATCTCTCGGTAGAAATTGCAATTGAATTTTCACTCGTGCCAAATTACACTGGCCAAAAGCATCGTTCGTTTGTGGTCCCATGGATCAACGCGTTTCGTGCTTCTTCGTGTCGCCACCGATGTTCGTCGTGTCGGTGGGTTACTTGGAATTTCGATTTCAACTTTCAGAATATTCCTTTTTAATTTTATTGGAAGAGAGAAAAAGGGAAAGAAAGAGTTTTAGTGGTTCCCTTTGCGTGTTGTACAGAAGTTCGTAGTTAAGTTATTCAAAAGTTAGTAATCAAATCTATTTTCTGAAATTTTCTTCATTTTATTGCGAGCTTATGCAATTGCTATTTAATTATTCAGAAAACAGACGAATATTTTTGGCAGAATTTATCAAGTTGGTATTCGCGCATAATTAATTAATTAATTAGACAGCTTTAAATCTACGAAGATCGAAAGTTTTCCAAATCTGCAAAGCCTTCTCAATTTCGTGAATCTTCAAATTTAAATCAATTACATAATTTAATTCACGTTCTGGATATATTTAATATGAAAGTCAACCACGATTCTCGATTCGGTCTAAAAAGCCTTCTTAAAGACGTATCTCTGCTCCAGTAACTCGGACGATACGCGGATGCGTCGAGAATCAATAATATTCCCAGGCGTGAATTACGTGAGTACTTTTCAAGGGGAGCGCGGTTATTCTTGACGTCATCGAGGCGTTTGTTTAATGAATGCTAGCAGCCTCTCCTCCGCGTTCTCTTCGCTCGGCCAGAAATCGAGGAGACTGCGAGCAGCGATTGCGTGGCGGTCGTGGCAGCCATTGTTTACATGAAAAAAAAACAAACTACATGATTTTCGATGAAGCGACGATACTGGTGAAAATACGAGCATCGATCGATACATCTTTTCAAGGATTTATCGATACTTTCTTGCGCATTGATGCGATTATGTATTATCTTACATTCGAAAAGCGAAGAGTTGTTGACCTAGAACTTGAACTTGCTAGATGAAGTTTCGTAAATGCGTATAATCAAAGCTTTGTTGAATTTTCAGAACCTGTCGATTATCTTTAAATATGCATTTGTAATGTTTTATTTTTTGTATTTCCGCTTCTTTTGCAAATTGATTTTATAAGTGACATTGATATATTACAATTACTCTTTAACGTGTGTCATCGTCATGGTGTAAGTCCAGTAATAATAATTTATTCGATATGTATAAATTATTCTCATCGTATATGGATAATAAGATTAACAGGAAAGTTTTTATCATTTTTTGCTACTAATCTATTGCTATAAATTGTAGTATTTATTATAAAAACACAATTATACCTACTACTTAACATAGTAATCACATTATCTAGCATAAAAAACTGATATCGCACTGTTGTTTAATCGAATCTTAACAGTAATTGTTTGCGTTGTTCTTAAATTCATAATTTAATCTTATCCTTCGACAAAATTATTTCCTATAACTCGTCTTGATCGAATTGCATTATATTATCCTATTCCTATCCTACTTTTCCTTTCATGCATACCTGTTCTTTTAAAAATATTTAGAATTGCAAATGTTTTAACCGATGTCGTTAAAGCAATCATGGATTCATTAACGATTCAGTAATAATTATCGGATCGTTAATTGAGATACGTACGATCATTGCAAAACTTATAAGATGCAGGAAGCATCGACGTCGATTGCTGAACAGACATAGAGATTTTTGATGATTTCGTGATTCCTTTTGACGTCATCGGAAAGTTTGTTTAATTAGCAATTGTCAGCCTTCGCGTAGGCTGTCATTGATCATAAGACCATGATTTGATCGAAAGGAAAAATAAGAAAAGAAAGGATCATAACGCTGCCGTGTCGCAACGGTGGCAATAAAAACTCTTCGGAATTTGTGTCAATGAACTGCTTTGATACCTGTGCGAACTTTAAATTAAGGAGTATGGCAACATGGCGTAATGTAACAGACTGAAAATTATCCAATATTACGTGGAAAATGCAAATTAAAAAATTTAATGTTTTAGGTTGTCGAGCGTACTATTAACTTGGCTTTCTCGGTATTAATTTCCTTGTAATTTTTGTTTCACAGAATTTCAGGTTTTTAAAGAGTGTGTCATGAATGCAAAATTTCAAGCATAAAAGCTATAGATATAGCGTTAGACTAATATCAATAGAAATACGGTGGATACAAGTTTCACTTAGTAACACATACGCTACATAAAACATTTTTGGAACGCATTACATTTTATTGAAATTCATTTATAATTAAAAAAGACGAAATTTGTATCCGAGAATTAGATTTCCACTCTCTTGAGAGCTCCACGAATTTTCGACTATCAATTTGGTTTTCTATATGTTTGTATCCTTTACAATTTCCTCATAAATTCTTCGACCATATAACAATTTCGACCACTATGATTCTTCGTCTTTGCAGAATAGTTATATCTGGTTGACATTGATTTTTACGTTTCTAAAATACGCGCAATCAAAAATAAACCTGAAGCGATTTCATTTTGTAAGTGGACGATCAGAAAAACCGAGAAACTAGCTAAAACAAACAGCGATGGTTCTAAAAAATCAAGCAAACGGGCATAATTCGACGTGGATTACAGCGGTTTGATCGACAAATCACGATAAATCGACGAAACTACGAATTCGTAGGAAAGATCGAGTGATCAGTAACCGCTGCTAATGGCATCGAGCGATTTTCGATGATCTACCGATGCTTTCTGATGTCATCGAGATGTTTGTTTAATGAACGCTACCGAGCTTTGCTGCTTCAACCAGTATAAATATAGAGATCACACTGTGCACCATGCGGATACGAAGGTTTACCGTCTGAAAACGGAGGACAACCTGTCTGCGTTTAATGTGACGTAACGTTTTATAAGCTGTTAAAATTCCCCCCTACTTGCTAATGAATCTACGCAGTATCATGTCACTTATGACTATGAAATCTGTGTTTCTCGTTTTTGAATTTTTAACAGTGGAACCGCTTTTGCCTATTTTCACCGTTTCATTGCTGTTTTTAATGCTAAGACGTCGGTAGCTGTTCTCATACATCGGTAACATTTCATGTTTTTCTTAAAAGTTTGTTTCGCTGTATCTGTATTTCTTGCGCGGCGGTTACATGTCAAACACATTTTATTTATACATTTTATCGAAATAAATTCTTTTCGCGATTATTCGTAAGTTAATATTAGTCCAACAGTCGTGGATGAAGCAACGTGATTAAATAATTCACGAATGAAAGACGTTAATTATTCAAATCGTAACTATTAAGGGACTTTGCAAAATTATATTCACTTTCGGGACACCATGTTTGAAATAGAAATCACACATCAAAATCCTATCTCTTCACCTGCCGTCAAATGTTCATTCTCGGAACATTTGAAGTCTGAAACCAGAATCGCGTTCGAAGAGCGACCAATTAATCGGAGTAAATCCGTCGACGGAAAGTTGGTCTGGTTGCGCGCAGTTCGTTCTAAAAATACGCGGCAAAGGATTAGCAGAAAAGTTTCCAATTAAGCGATCACCGGATGTTGAGCGCGACCGACGCGCGCGCGTTCCTCAAATCTACCGTATATCTACTATCCGACGCGTGTGCAGCGACGGCAGTAGAAACAGACCTTCGAACCGGACCACGTTCCTGCAACTAAGCGGCAAGTAGAAAGAGTTAGACCGTACGTGCAATGAAAAACCAGTGACGTAGCGAACGATCGAGGAATCGATCGATAAGTTGCGATGGTGTTTCCCAGCCGCGACGATTGATTTTCGATGGTCCCGCGATACTTCCTGACGTCATCGAGGCGTTTGTTTAATGAGCGGCTACCAGCCTCTCCCCACGTCGTCCCTACTCGAACAGAAATCGCGGCCAGAGGGAGACAGAGCTAGCGGAGTTCGTGGAGGGGGCGTAGGGAGAGTGAGAAAGAAAGAGAGGAAGGGGAGAGAGGTAGTATCGTGTCGGACGCTGGACGAGGCGCACGCTCGATGCGAAGCAGCGCGTGCTTTCACGCGCGGAAAGCAGGAAGCGGTGTGTGTACCAGGACACGACACGGTTGGTCCTGGACCCGGTGGTGTCCACGCGGTCCTGCCGGCTTTCGAGGTATCGTCGCGTCGACAGGACTGACCAGCCGTGAATCGTGCATGGCCCCGCGGACCAGGAAACAACGCTGCTGGTAGTAGTCGTCTACAGAGAGGAACGAACACGTCCGAAAAGTAGTCACGGATCGTACATCGTCGACCACGCGGCACACGTGAGCGGAACGAAGACGAACCGCTACCGAGCGCGACCGAACGCCAACGAGTCGCCACGATCGTCTCTCTCGGGGTATCCTGGCTCACCGCTGATTGGCCGAAACCTCGAGGAAGTGGTCACCGTCGACGAGGGCTCGGACCACATCGCCACGTGAGTTCAGCGCCGTATCGCGAACCAGGATATCGCGCGCGCCTTTTCACCCGATCCTGCAGCTGCATTTTGCCGAGCACCCACCAACGTCAGCTTTCCGAGCTCAGACAACAGGATCGCTTCGAACGATCTTCGAGTCGACTTTGCCGCGGTGTTCACGAATCGACATCGCCGACGACGATTACCTACGCAATTGTTTCTCCTTGTAACATCGCGAATTAGCGGTCTTCGCTGACCGCAATCGGGAGTATCGTATGTCTATGAAAATTAAACGACGATGTTGTCCCGATTGATCGGACGGTGTTTAAACGAAACTCGTAGAAATCGAGTGACAAGTGAATAGAACGAGACACTGGATCGTTTCGAATGCACTGGCTGTAGAACAGGCGTACGACGAGATCCTTAAAAACCGGAACGTCAACCATAATACCAGGTCTGCTCGGCCCTGAACCGGAATCGATCTACGTCATCGTAGTCATCACGTGGTGATCCTGACCTAGGCCAATGTCTTTACCCCATATGACGTTGCGCCTTTCTGTCGGTGTCATCTAGACACGCAGATCCTACTTCCCTTCTAAATATAAAAGCATGCTCGACTCGTGGGCGAAAGTCTTCGAGCATGGAAACGACGAATAATCCGTGGAGCCGCGTTGACGAACGGCAAGGATCGTCGAACCAGTATCGAATTCGATCTTTCTCGCGAAGTTGAATCTTGCGCGTCGAATTTAACGTCGTAATTCGTGACGTACTGTCTTCTATCGACACAAAGGAGAAAGTTGGTGTCTTCGAGTGTTATAAATAGAAGTGAACAGTGAATAAAACCTGCCGGTCAAGGAAAATTTCTTTTCTCTCGAATCTCTGGCCGTTGGTCGCCGAAGATTTCTGCGGCGAAACTATTATTCCCAAATTTTAACGTGATCCACGGAGTTCGATGACTTTGTGTACAAAAAGTGTATACCATTGTTTCGCTCGTTCCTTTTCTGTTGTCATTTTTACATTTTCTCAAAACATAAATATGGTAAATGTTATGTAACGAACACGCAGTGAAACTTGTAGATTAATTCCGTGGTTGTTTACGGTTTAACGGTAACGATATTATAAGAAAAAGTTGTTTATCGGTCGACGAGAACTACGTAATTCACCGAGAGTCGATGATAGAGATCCTTTTCTTTCTACTTTAGATGCCTCGCGCGTCTAGTGTGTTTAATGACAGTTGTATCTGGTAACGGTACGTGTTTATATTAGTCGTGTCGAGGAAGAGATCAACGAACTAAATGGTGCGTCGTGAACGAGTCGAAGGGTAAACTCGAAAGGAATTACATCGCACAAGGTACACCTCGGATAGGTTAATCGAGAGATTGTCAACGATGATTTACTCCGGTTGAGGACGGGTGATTAGGTGATTCAGCTTGGGCAATCAGCAAAAAAGTTACAATCTCGTGCATATTCCAGAAGACTAATCACAAACCTATCGACCCACCTTCGCTCAGCAGGAAATTGTTCTTCCTGATAATAACAAAATTTCTACCTTCCACTTGGAAACGAAGATCTTCCTGTTTGGTCTGGTATGTGACGTTTTATTCTTTGAGAATATCTTATTGGCAAATACGTTATTATGGTAGAATTGCTTCGTTATTTATCTTTGCAAAAATTAAACATTTATATTTACCGTAATTTATTTAATTACTATCTGATCTTTGTTCTCGAATTAGATATATTAACTTATTATCTTTCGTAAATTAGTAACTCACGAGTTTTACATTACCACCGAAAGAAAAACTCATAAATAACACTCGGAGAAATCTATTAGACCACGCGAACTGTTATAAGATATGACTGTAATAAAGAAATCGATAGTTTCAAACGGAGATTATAAACACGTTTTTTCTCGGTTCTTAATGCACGAAACAAGATGACTACCGAGTGCATGTAATTGGAGGGGGAGGTGGAAGAGCAATGGTACGCATGCACTCCCCTCCATGGCATTCTGCAGAGCATAAAATTCAGGATCGCGAATGCTTTAGTGCCATCAATCAACAGTGCCACACGATCTATACAATTACTCCCTTTTTAATATAAGCCATTTTCCTAGAAAAATTGTTCAACAATCTTAACTGCCTCGTCACACGAAACATCACAACAGTTACGTATGAAAAAAAACCTGAGAAATCAAAAACATTGCTACTCGCAACGCTGATTCTAAAAACACCGCTATTTTTGCAACTATACAAACCGATACTGGTTCAACAAATACAAATATTGCCCTAGACTTATAAACAAATCAATACTAGTTTCGCAAATACTAACACACCTTGAGACACGAAAATAACAAAGTTTGCCTTTCATAAAGACAAACTTTAGTTCTTTATCTACCTACATAGGATATCGATTTACATCGCGAAGAAACCTTCGAACCTTCGACATCATTTTCTCAACGCGATACACGTATCGACGATCCGTAGAATTCCCAATATCCGCGCGCGATACGAAAATACTATCGCGCCAAGTCTGAATGAATAGATCCCAAGTACGCCGGCGTTTAGTTGGCGAAACATCAAGCGTCCGCTTGCCAGAAATTTGCTTGGTACACTAAGCATCGTAAAGACCGGCTAACGTAATTCCCGCATCGTTGTAAAAATAAACAACCATCGAGATAACCGTCGCTACGTCCTCGCAGAGATTCTTCGCGCAGCA